CATACACATCGCCATTCGCACCACGTACAGGCGAAACACCACCACTGCGACTATCTATCTCGAGGTTCATTCGGCTTCCTCGACGCAGCAAACGCACCACCAAACATCTGAATTCGCGGCTCTATCAGTCACGAGACCTGATCACTCCTCTAGCTTGCCGGCCCCCACTCTCGTCGGCATACACGATACGAGCTTCCACTTGAAAGCCCCCCCACTTCAGCCCGTGCTTCATTCATAACTTGCGAACCTTGACGTCTTGATCAGCGACCCCACCCTCTGGTGGACTCTACACATACACAATGACTTCAGAAATCACGAACCAACTAGCGGCAACGCAGCTGAGGTGAGTCGGCCGAGAGTGAGTGAGAGGTTACAAGCACACGCGCTGACACGTCTAGCGATGCCGCACCGTCAGGAGAGGCCAATTGGAAGGCGGGACTGAACGCGCCCGTAAAGGATGCGCGACCGCAAACAGAGGTACGGTGTGCTTGCACATGCAGTGCGGGGGGAAACATGCTAACACGCGCGTAGGATGTTACTGCTACCAAGGGACTTGAATTCGAGGACTTCTTTATCAAGCGCGAGCTGATGATGGGCATCTTCGAGGCTGGCTTCGAGAAGCCGTCGCCCATTCAAGAAGAGACGATCCCTGTAGCACTTACCGGCCGAGACATCCTTGCACGAGCGAAGAACGGTACCGGAAAGACTGCCGCCTTTGTCATCCCCACCCTCGAGCGCGTAAACCCCAAGAGCCCAAAGACACAAGCCCTCATCCTCGTACCCACCCGAGAACTCGCCCTACAAACCTCACAGGTATGCAAGCAGCTGGGAAAACACCTTGGAATCAATGTCATGGTCTCAACCGGTGGTACGGGCCTCAAAGACGACATCATACGATTAAACGACCCTGTCCACATCATTGTTGGAACACCAGGTAGGATTCTGGATTTGGCTGGCAAGGGCGTAGCAGATCTTTCAGCTTGCCAGACCTTTGTCATGGATGAGGCCGACAAGCTTCTTTCCCCTGAGTTCACCCCGGTTGTGGAGCAGCTGCTTGGCTTCCACCCCAAGGACAGACAGGTCATGCTTTTCAGTGCCACGTTCCCCATTGTTGTCAAGAGCTTCAAGGTACGTTTCATGACACTCCAGCCATGACTACTCTACTGACACAGACCAGGACAAGCACATGAATTCCCCATACGAGATTAACCTGATGGACGAACTCACACTTCGCGGTATTACGCAGTACTACGCTTTCGTTGAAGAGAAGCAGAAAGTCCACTGCTTGAACACCCTCTTCAACAAGCTCCAGATCAACCAGTCCATCATCTTCTGTAACTCCACGAACCGAGTGGAGCTCCTCGCTAAGAAGATTACCGAACTCGGCTACTCGTGTTTCTACTCGCATGCTCGCATGCTCCAGCACAACCGTAACCGCGTTTTCCACGACTTCCGTAATGGTGTATGCCGAAACCTTGTCTGCTCCGACTTGCTCACCCGTGGTATCGATATTCAGGCAGTCAACGTTGTAATCAACTTTGACTTTCCCAAGAACGCAGAGACATATCTGCATCGTATTGGTCGTTCCGGTCGTTTTGGACACCTGGGTCTGGCTATTAACCTGATCAACTGGGAAGACCGTTTCAACCTGTATAGGATCGAACAAGAGCTTGGTACCGAGATTCAGCCCATTCCCCAGGTCATTGAGAAGAACCTCTACGTTTATGAGTCGCCCGAGTCGATCCCCCGTCCCATGTCCAACCAACCACGTGCTCCTGCCCAGATTCAGCAGCAAGAGCAGGAAGGCGCCGCGCGCGGAAACCCCAATGCCCGTGGCGGCTTCCGCGGTGGACGCGGCGGCGGTGGTGGGTTCCAGGGACAACGCCGAGGACCCCCGCAGAACCAGCAAAACCGTCAACAGAATGGCCAGAACACTCAGCGGAATCCTAGGCCGCAGCCTGCAAACCCACCACAGGCCTCGTAAGGCCGGCTGCCGCTTCTGGCGGGACTTGGCCATCTGAGTAGTCTTTTGGTTTCAACAACTGGTACATTTTCCCATGTCGCAACTTCTTCCTGCTTGGGGGCCGCAACAGCACTTGGCGGTGTCATTTGCACATACATATCCTGGCGTTTTTCATTTGTATGCAATTATGCAAGCAGCCGCTGACGACACGATACGGGACACCTGGACTTTTCTTTCCCAGGTACCACGAATCGGATCATTGGCGCAATACGGTTTTAACGATCTGGACCATCTTCTATGTACTATATCAAGGGTTGCCTGGGTCGTAACTGTTTTCTGCTTTTTGTCGGTCGGCTGGTCTTGCCGACTTACTTTCTTGAGACGCTTTTGTCTCCGCCTTGTCGACGGTACATCTCAACGGTTTTCGTACACTGCATCATCTAGTTTCCCCTTCGTCCTCATTTCCATTCTCTACTCAGCACCATCGGCGGTTGGTATAGTCTTTCCAAAAGCTCGGATCCTCTCTTTATTCAGGATTACAGTTAGTACGATCGCCTTTTGTTCGACCCTGCCCTATTTTCGATGCCTACAGGATATCTGTAGCCCACCTTTTGCTACAAGACCCTTCTCTCACCATATCTTTTAACATCATCGGCCCTGGACACATACTCTTTGTCCGAGGCTGAACCACACCTCTACACTCCATCCGACCCAATACGTTACATGTTGACATGCATGTCATTTGTCATGGAAATTCCGCAGTTTCTCTCCCTCCTCTAGGAACTGCACCTAACGAGCGCTACGAATTGGCTCATTTCAAAGTTGGTCATCTTCTTTGTTGGCATTGCCAGCGGGAGGACCTGACTAGTCTGGGAATTGTCTCCAAATTGCGTTGGTGCTCAGTATGTCGGATTATGGACATACTTGCACAAATCAACGTATGCTTTCCACGAACACAACTACAGCGTGGATGTTGAAAGACTCTTCCCCGTAGAAGGAAAAAACAACAAAACCCCGTCTCTACATGATAAATAATAGTAAAATTAAAGAAAAGCCTTTTTGGGGACCCGGCTGGAAAAGATAGGATTACGAACATGGCGACTGGCGTCATGGTATGGCTACTATTGAGAGCGATCAAGCAACAATTGATTGCCTGACATGATATCTAGATGAGCTCAAAGCTAGTCTCTACATCTTTTCCAATGCAAATCTCTCTTCCCCCAATTCTATGATGGTACTGTTTTTTTTTATCGCCGTAACTTCTATAACCCCCTCTTATTTGATCTGCCCAACAATACTACTCACCATGACAGCAGCTTCTCTCTCCCACGTCACCATCGCATTACTACTAATACCAGCACCCTTTGGCAAATTACTATTGCCAGGAAACTGACTCCCCCGATTCACACACTCCCTCACTAAGTCCCTCACCTTCTCCTTGTTACTCTTGAGCGTCCGCGCAGACACTCCGCCTCTATTCATCAGATCCTGCACTCTGGGCGCCATATTTGACGCAAGTGTGCGCCAGAAATAGCTAGGAAGGGACGATGTATCTAGGGCTTGGAGTAAGGGTTGTAATAGATTTGTTTGTTGCTGCTGCTGCTGCTGAAGTGATGCAGGTAGAAGGGGATGCTCTGGTGTTTTTATAGACTCCAAAAGGGACTGTAGGGCAACTATATTTTGACATCTGGCTGATATTTCGAGCAGGGCGCGGTCGAGAGATGGGAGTTGAGCTAGAGCGCGGGCGAGCGAGGCGAGCGAGGATTTGAGTTGGGTTTGGACGTGTTCTTGGAGTGCGGAGAGCATGAGACTTGGCTCGAAGGGTTTGGCGGAAGAAGATGATGATGGTGGTAAAGGGGATAAGAGATAGAGTGTTTGCAAAGCGGACGTGGTGCGAGCTTTTGTGTCTTCGTTTTGGGAAAAGGTGGATGCAGAGGATGCAGCGGCAGAGGAGGAGAGTAAGGAGGACATTGAGAATTCCTTGATTACTTGGGAGGCGCGCGAGGCGATGCTGCGTTCGCCTGGGTTTACGAGTTCGGCTTTTAGAGTGTTGATTGCGTTGATGCGGTCGAGGCCTTCGCCTTCTTCACCGGGCCTCGAAGCAGAGAGGATTTGGCGGAGCGAGAGAATGGTGTCGGTTGAGCGCACCATGGCGCGGTGGTCTTCCTTCTTCGCACTGCCTACGCCGCCCAGCTCTGCCATGCGGACTTCGAGTTGGCGGCCGAGCATCAGACAGCGGGCTACTGCGCGCCCCAGCTTGACCGTCTCGCATAGGCGTTCGGCGGTGAGTTGGACCTGGGCGGCGACTTCGTACCGCTCAATGACTTCTTTTTCGAGCGTGCGGTACGACTCGGTCAGACTGGCGACCTGGTCTTCCACCTCGTGCAGGATGCGTGCACTCGAGTCTGCATGTTCGCGTGTATGTTCCAGCAACGGCAATGCCGATTTGGTCGTAAGCGTGTCAATGTGCGTGTCGACTTCCTGGACATCGAAAAGAACGCGCGACAGCGGTGTTGACAGGTCTAGCGGGGTGTCGGAGGGGTTGTTGGTCGAGAGGACGAGTGTGTTGGCAAAGGACGTTGCCGAGAAGTCTGGGTCGAGAAAGGCTTCATAGTCAATGTATGAGGGTTCGGCGTCGTCTTTGGACATGGCGGCAGCTTAAGACGAGTCCCGTGCCGGGCGCAATGGAATGAATGGCTTGCTGGTGAGAGAGCTGCGACAGGGATGCTTATCTTAGCGTGCTGGTATCACGTCCAACTACCCAGCATCACCATGCTAACCAAGTAGCCAATCGCTCGACCTCAATACTCCGACTTCTACCAAGCTCGGATCTCACCTCGAAATTGTCTAATCTCAAATTCTTACAACAAATGCTCAATTGGGCCATGCTCATCTAAGAAGTGTACAAGCGCTTTGACGTTGGTATCGTATCCATTGATTTGACACATTGAAATCGCTATGCTAAAAAGGGACATGAACACCAAAAGCGCCTCCAAGGTATACAGCACCACCCTTGATCCCATAAAAAAACGTTGCATTAAGCGCCTTCACTTCCGAACTCTTTGGTCCATTCAGCACTGCGCTGCAGATCCTCACCACTAACTGTCGGTCTTGAAGCCTTGATGGCCTTGATGAAGTCCTTGACCTTTAGAGGTGGCTCGAGCAGCTGGTCGCCATCGAGATCTGTCCATGATTTCTCGTGTGCTTGTGGGTCGCCAGGAGAACAAGGCGTCCATTTCGTTTGGCCATCGACTTCGACAGGCTTGTAGTGTGTTGCCGTCTGAATCAGACGTACAGGCTGCATGAGTGCGTCCTGCACTGCAATGGAAATATCGGAACCAGAATATCCCTCGCTAAGCTCTGCCAGCTTCCTGTAGTCTGCCTGGTTCAGTTCGCAGGGTGTGTTTCCGACCGCAAGTTCAAACATCTTCATGCGCGCGGGAAGATCTGGTAAGCTAATGTGTACTCGTCGTTGGAATCGTCGTCGGATAGCCGAATCGAGCTGCCATGGGATGTTTGTTGCTCCAAGAATAAGTACGCCTTTCGAGTCTTTGCCTACACCGTCCATCTGTACCAACAACTCGGTCTTGATACGTCTGGATGCCTCTGATTCGCCTTCTCCACGGGGGCCACAGAGAGCATCGATTTCGTCTATGAAGATAATTGAAGGCTTGTTCTCGCGTGCCATGCCGAAAAGTTGCTTGACGAGGCTGAAGATATGTTAGTCATGCGCCTTGCATAATGAGCGTTATTGTGACTTGCCGTTCTGATTCACCCATCCACTTGCTCACAAGATCCGAACTGGATACACTGAAAAAGGTACTGTTCGCTTCGGTCGCAACAGCTTTTGCCAGATAACTTTTACCAGTACCGGGTGGTCCATACAGCAATATGCCTTTCCATGGTTGTCTCTTTCCGGTGAATAGATGTGGAAACTTGATGGGTAATATGACAGCCTCCTTGAGCGCCTCTTTTGCCGCTTCGAGACCAGCTACGTCCTCCCACCGAATGTTAGGTTTCTCGGAGAGGATAGCGCCCGCAAGCGCACCGCGGAGCTTCTTGGAATCGGCGTCCTGTTCGCCTTCGTCGTCATCACTGTCACATGTTAGCAAGACGATACTTTAGTCTTGTGTTTGCGGTTGTAAATACCCTCCACCCTTGCCACTCCCGCCTGCTGCCTTGCCATTTGAACCCATCGCTGCTGGTTTCTTGCGATTCGAGGCGTCGTTTTGATTCAAGTGTTGCTTAAGCTTTTCGGCGCGCTCCATGTATTCGGCGACCTTGCCACGAATCATTTCCTTGGATTTCTGGTTCTTCTCCCATTTCAAAGCGAGCATAAAGAGCTCCACTGGTAATCATCAGTATGCGAAAGCCTCAGGCTGCGTTCTATGTCACTAACAGGCGCTGTAGTATAGCTGGTAGGCCTTTTCATATTCGCCTGCTGTATCAGTCTCAATGGCCTTCTTGACCGTTTCGATGGCCCGACCGAGGAAATCCGCATTGCTCATGGCTTATACCGTGGGCGTGAACCGTGCTCAAGGACGTTATTGTGGGTGGGCGCGTTTGTGTACAGATGAGAGCAGATAGGCGGGGCACGCACGAGCCGTTGAAGACGGTATATTTGGGCGCACACGGCGGATAGTATGAGGTCCCGAGACTATCTGCGGCACTCGAGAGAGTAAGTTTGGCGAAGGATTGCTTGAGGTAGGTTTGTTGTCGCAGGCAGCGGGCGTGAAGGAGACCGTCAAGTTGCCATGGCCTATGGCCATAGCCAAGGCACCTAGCCCGCCCCGCGTTGCTTCTAACCGCTTTGGGAAAGTTTATTCTCCCACCTGCGACCTGCGAGCATACGACCAAACTCTCAGTCAAGCCTTACTCAGCATCACAAACACCATGGCAGAAGTACAAAGGAAGCTGCAGGAACTTTCCGAAAAGTACCAAAGCCTCCAAGCAGGTAAGCAGTTGTTGCCAGCCGAAGTAGAGTGAGTGCTAACGTCGGAATAGATCTCGGAACCAAAGTTGAGGCACGCCAAAAACTGGAGTCGCAACAACAGGAGAACAGCACCGTCAAGAAGGTAGCCGATCAAGATGCACGCATGTCCGACATACGCTGAGACGCTACACTGCAGGAATTCGACATACTCGACGACGATGCCAATATCTACAAGCAGATCGGCCCGGTGCTGTTGAAGCAGGATAAGACAGAGGCGGTCATGGCAGTGAATGGACGTCTGGAGTTCATTGACAAGCAGATGTCAGTCCGAATCGCTATTGACGGAGAGGTACGACATTAACAAGTAGCAGCAAGGACATTGAGAAGCAAATCCAGGGCATACAGGAAAACAGCGAGAAGATCAAGGGCGAGGTGCGTTTGTTCGATGCTGATTTCGAGGGTAGGCAAGCTGACTTGCCGACTAGATTATCCAGATCCAGACGGCGGCGCAGCAATCTCAGGCAGCGTCATAAGAGAATTGGCTACAAGACGAGAGAAATCAATGAGATGCCCAAATTCCCTCGACTTGCTTGGGTCCTGCCACCTACGCTACATTGTCGTGAAGGGCCAAAGCCAAGGCCGATGCTGACGACTCGGGCTTCATATAAACTCCAAACTCTAAGCCCTGACCGCTGACGCGCACAAGCGCAAGAGCATGTCCCTTGCGAACGGGCTGGGAAATGAATTGATGAGCAAGATGTCAACGTACTTGGAAGCGTGGCCTTGACACGACAGTCTGCCTCCATAGACGGGGAATATGTAGTAGACACAGCTAGGAGTGGCTGGGATGAATGCCAAGCCGTGGCTGCGCTGAAGGGTCTATGCGTCGAGGAAAGCCATTGATGTCAATATAAGGATTTATCGATTTTTGCACGAGTCGACGCTTCTTTTGGCACGACTCGAATCATGCACGTGGTCTGGCCGAGTGCTGGGTGGGTGGTAGTTATTTGCCGGGACTCCCGGAACAGGCAAGCAGCGGGTAAGGTAAGCCGTGTCGGGTCTACAACCTAGGCGAGTGCTCCTGCAATAACAAAATACGACGTCGTTGTCGTCGGAAGGGCCAGGTTTTGTAGTTATTGGGGGCGCCGAAGGAAGTCGGCCCCTCGAGCCATGATACTGGCTAGGCATTTATTTGCAGGCGGCGCATGAACAGCCAGTCCGGAGCATTTCCTTTTGTTTGCTGGAGCGTTTGATGGGTCCCCCCCGCGCAGGCGTTGCCAATGGGGAGGAGGCGCGGCAAGGGCCCAGCACCCTGTTACAGAAGGCTTGCGAATCGTGCCCTTTTTATTTATTTTTATTTTATGCCTCGCAGGAGCACACAGACATGGCATGCCGGGCGGAAACTGACAGCGGAACCAGCCGTGGTATCTCTGATGAGGCACCTACATACTGACTACATAAGCACAGCATGGTAATTGCGTTTGGCCGGTACTCGAAACGACGATGGTATGGTACCGTGGCTGATGATGAGTGTTGGTTGGTTGGTTGGGTGGCGTGCCGGGGGATGCGGAGGCGTGGTATGTGTACGTACAGTACTTGGGTTACTAGGTACATACAACACACACACGCACACGCACACGCACCCTCGCCTCAGGGCGCCCGAGCAGGCAAAGAGAGGCGGACAAGCTTTTGGGGCATGGCCGTGGAAGGCCCCCAAAGACCACCTGGCTCCACCAGGCATTCGCATCATCTGTAACAGCTGAGGACTAGCGCTGGGCCAGTCGTGCCGTTGCTTCAGTCTTGCGCAGGGTGCCGTGATTGGCTGCACGCTAACGAACCAACGCCTTTTGGAGTCCTGACAAGAGTTCACTGTCCCCTTCTTTACCTCTGGCAGTGACCTTCTTCCGCTGGTCTGCCTCCTTATCGCCGACCTTTTCCCTTCTTTGTTGCTGGATATATTACCCGCTCTCTTCTTATAGCGCTGCTTGCCCGTCCCCTCTTGCACAGCGCTCCCCACGCCTTCGCCTGCGCCTATCAGCCCTTCCGCGATCCTGTCTCTCCCCTGACACTTCGCACCTCGAGCTCTCCTTTGAGGCACAGCTGGGACTGCAGGAGACACTCGTGTGCATCCATTACTTCGACCGACTGACGCTGAATTCCATCCGTCGACACTGTACGTCCCATCTCGACTGCCCGCACCCTCTCGTATTCGCCTTGCTCACTGTCAGCCCAGAATTTCAACCCACCAACTGCCCGCCACGGTCAGCCACTACCGCCATCATGTCGGCCAGCCACATCGCCGCCAACAGGAACAGCACCCCCGAGGGCTCCTCCTCCCTCCGCCCGCCTCAGGCCCGCTCTTCGCTCGGTGCAAACCATCATCTCCGCGCCTCAGCTGATTTGGGCGGCTTCCCCTCGCCTTTGGCCAACCGCGGCATTCGCCCCGCCTCCGAGATCTACTTTGGCCGCAACAACACTCAGTCTGGCAACCCAGACGAGATGGAGCGTGCTGCCCAGCAGTGGCTCGCCGACATTGACCAGTATGAGACCACGCTCGAGGAGATGGCGACAGCCACCCTCGATCAGGACTTCAAGGACGAGTTGAGCGCCATCGAGCAGTGGTTTCGCGTTCTTAGCGAGGCCGAGAGGACCGCTGCCCTCTACGCTCTCCTGCAGCAGACAACCCAGGTTCAGATTAGGTTCTTTATCCAGGTTCTGCAGCAAATGTCCAAGAACGTGCCCATGTCTGGAGTACTCTCGCCTGCTAACTTTGGAGAAAAGGGTAAGAATTTCTAATTTTGTTTTTTTTTCCAATGCTTTCCCATGCTGACATGTGCTAGATCCAATGACGCAGAAACTGAGCGATGCTATGAGCAAGCTTAACACGGGCGAAAACCGCCATTCCATGGGCCTCGGTCGCCCCCCGCCATCCCCGGGTGCTGGAAAACGCAACTCGGGCCTGGAAACCTCCACCATCAACCGCATGTTCCCAGATGCGGCCGCAGCTATTGCTAAGCAGAAAGCTGAATTCACCGATGTTGTAGGCGTCGCACCGGCGTCAAACCGCAACAGCACTGTCGGCGACCGTAGCTCAATGGCAGCTCCCACCATCTCTGCCCCCGAGGACAACAAGAGGGAAAACAATGCTCCGCCGGCATCTCCCTGGAACGAAGGCACGAACCGTCCAAAGTCCTCTGGCCAGCAGCAGCAACAGCAGCAACAGCCCATGGGCCAGTTTTCGCAGCCTCCTCCATCCGCCGGTCTTCGATCTCCTCGTCTTCCCCTCCAGAACGATGCCAATAATGTGCAGACTACTACTCTGAACGCTCTCGAAGCAAACTCCAACATGCCACTCCTTTCGCCTTCTTACCAGCCAGGTGGCAGCTGGGCATCGCAGTTGAGCACCCCCATGGTCGCCAATTTTAGCCAGTCCAACAACCAGGCTGATATGGTTGCCAATGCCACGGCTATGAAGCTTGCTGCACTCTCTACTGTTAACAACCGTATTCAGTTGGATGATGTGCGCAAGTTCCGTCGCGCTCGCTCATCAGACAACGGTCCCATGTCGCCTGGTATGCCTCAAATGGGCAATGGAAACATTCTCATGACAAACGAGATGGGCCAGGTCTTGACTCCCCAGCAAGCGGCTGCTCTGCAGGCCCAACAGTTGGCTGCCATGAACGGCCGCCGATCTCGGCCCAGCTCCCCCGGTTTTGCAATGCAGGGCCAGGGTATGGGTATGGGAGCCATGGGTAGCTTCACTTCTCCCCAGGCCAACGGTTTCCTAGCTGCTGAATATGGAGGTGGAATGATGAACAACGGCATGGGTGCCCTTAACCTTGCTCAGTTTGGATTGGGTAGCGGAGGCAACAATGATGGTCACGGCTTCCTTGGTGACAACATTGACCGTGGTCGATCTCCCCGAGGTCGCCGCGGCAGCTCCAAGCCTCCGGAAGATCCTACCGACCCTGGTCTGCTCTCGGATATTCCCAACTGGCTCCGCAGTCTCCGATTGCACAAGTACACTGATAACCTCAAGGACCTCAAGTGGCAGGAGCTCATCGAGCTTGACGACGAAGGTTTGGAGAAGCGCGGAGTTAACGCTCTTGGCGCGCGTAGGAAGATGTTGAAGGTATGAAAGACTCGATTCGTTCCATAAGTCCTTGAAACTAACACAAGATTACAGGTTTTCGAGCAGGTCAAAGAAGCCCAGGAACAGGGCAAATTGCGATAGATCCGCGAGCTGTACCTCCGGACTCGCACATGCGAACGAGTTCATCTCAAATCATAGATATACGATGGAAAAGCGGCGACCTCCAGCTGGCACGGATGCAGATCCGTCAGGTCTGGGAACGCATACGATGATATGCTTTATGCTCTGAGACCCCGTTTGGATGTTGTGTTGGCCCATCGTATGTCGAAGGCTGGCTTCCACTGCAGTTTCTTTTTTGTACAAATGTATTAGTGTGGTTTTCTATTGTAAGGTTAGGGTAGAAGAGGCCGGGCAACGGCAAAAAATTAATGACGCCATTACGCGCTTTCTACAAGATGAATTGTGTTCAGCGTAAGCATCTCATCACTTGTTCAACGTATTGCATGTCGCTACTTTTGCATAAACGCGAGATTGCTTGGGAAAATGCGGCCCCGACGGTTATCCCGACAGTTACCGACAAGGCAACCATGACCACATCTGACACTCAGGTTAGCCTTACAACGACCTTTCACTTGGCAATAACAGCACTTGGGCAAAGCATATGAACACCCAAGAAACATCCCCCTGCACTGCATAACACGTCAGCCTCCGCGCCTCCAGCCAAGTAATTCCCCCATTTACTCCGTCACGCCATTGATCTTTGATGGATCAACCATCGACCGAAAAGCGTATTGAGCGGGTTGTATTGGCATGTGTTCAATGCCGCAGCAGACACGTCAAGTGCGATGCCGAGCAGCCTGTATGCAAAAGATGCAAGCACGATGGGAAAGAATGCGTTTACCAAAAGTCACGAAGAGGAGGGCTAGATAAAGCAGCCCTCGCAGCACGACGGTTACGATTGCAGCGAGAAGCCGAAAGCACACCGCGCAACACACCCACTGCTCAAAGCAGTGAGAATTCCGAGCAGCATCTACCGACAGACTCAATCTGCGCACAGTCATCGTCGAATCTCTTTTCAGACAACACAACAGATGAGACGATCTCGCTCGCCGCATCACATTTTCTTCAGCAAAATCATGTGACATTCCACATCGACAACGATCGCCTTCTAGAACTGTTTTTCGAAAACTTCTGGCCTTCTTTTCCCATCGTTTTGCCATACTCTTATCTACAAACCAGGCGTCTGAAAGAGAATCATGGCATGCCAGTCTTGCTGCTCGTCTTGCAATGGATCGGCTCATTCTACGCGCCCTGGGTGCCATCGGAGCCTTATCATGAAGCAGCTCTCAAGGCAGTTGCTTCACCCACGCTTGAACGCACTCCATTCAACGTCCAATCGCTGATGCTATTTGCGCTCGCAGAGTTTTACTGCAATCACAAGAGCCAGGCTCGCAAGAGGCTAGAAACAGCTGTTACCCTTGCCTTGGAACTTTCCATGAACGAAAGGGACTTTGCCCACGCGTATGGCGAAGGCGACCCTGTGCTGGAGGAGTCATGGCGGAGAACCTATTACATGCTCTATATTGTGGATCAGCACTTTGCTATCGTCACCAACACCCCATTCCACGCGTTACTGGCAGTGCCAAACAATGTTGACTTGCCTTGTGATGACGAGTACTACAAATGTGGGGTATGTTATACCAACGTGCTTAGAGTTGTTCAAGTGGTAACATAATTAGCAAATCCCTCCCGTGTCAACATGGGCCGAGTACCAGCTCCGCGAGCTTGCAAAGATTGAGGTAGTATATTCTTCAATCACTTACTTATATGATGCTGCCATGGTTGTCGCATTTAGTAAGTTTGAACCGAAGATGCAGTATTGACATAGGGCATCGTGTTGACCATACTAGTCATGAACACGTTTATCCATACCACTGTGATAAACGAAGCTCTTGTTGAAAGTTGTGATGCTAAATTTGCTATCTGGACGTCTTTGCTACCATCATGCAAGAAGGATCCGCTTCTTATGAACGGCGAAGTGGACGAGGTCATGTATGTCGAGAACAGCTGTGTTGAGAGCCTAGAATTCTTGCTGATATTGTTCTTTCCACAGGTTCATGGCACATATGATCATCGCCATGTAAGTATTCATTCTCCGCTTTTTTGAAAACACATTGACATGATCGCAGCATAATGTCGACAATTCATCGGCCTTACTCGTCGCTAGGCTACTGTCCAGGTGAAATGTCTACACGAGGCTTCATAGCGCCCTCGCCCTTTACGCTCGTGCCGAAAGCTGGGCGTAATGCACACACTGCACGCGTGTTAAAAGCCACAGAGATTGCAACGAGGCTACTCGCAATTCCTTGTGCTCTTGAAAGACACAATCTATTCACCACGTGCATGACGGCACAGTTGGCTGCCGTACAGGTAGCTGCGTGCGTATATCTGCTTGACGGCCATGCCCTTACTATAGCCCGCGACCGTGTCAGCCTCAGTATTGGCTTTCTGAAAACCATGGGGTCCACTTGGCCTCTCGGAAAGATAGTGGCAACGGAAGTTCGAACCATTGCGCGCTTGAGTTTCTCCAATACAAGCACCCAGCATGTCGGATCTATGGGGGCAGAGCCTGTGGCTGCGGAAATCGAAGTACCGCGCGATGAGGTGGTATCTCCTGTTGATCCTTCAGCTCAGATTGACATCTACGCCGGTCTCACGCTTCCTGTCGATTTGAGCCCAGCACCTTTTGGCTATCCAAGTTATTGGGTTTAAAGACGGAAAGTAGCCGAGATGGTTGATACTACTCAAACTGTGATATTCATGCTGTATGAGGCGAAAGATGGGCATATTGGCGAAGAGCGAGCTAATGCTGTGTAACCCGACCAGATTCGGGATCAGCAGTGTCTAGCTGTGATCAGCGCAAGACGACCGATCAGCTATGAGGTCAACCGTGGACGAACAAGATCGATGTAACAATTCTTGGTTTGACAGCATGATGGCAGCAGTACAACTAGAGACAAATCAGATTGGCTAAGCAACACATTACTACTCCAAACTAATGCACCATAGTCACCAACCGATAAATGAGGTCATTACGTACAGTTACACAGGGTGGACACAATACAACCCAACACATGACAAACCCCATTTTTTCGTTCGAGTATTATCTGCAACCTCGGAAGTTGGTAAGCAAGCAAGTCCATCCGCCCGCTGGCTCGTTATCAGTTGCCCAGCGGGCGTATCTATGCCATGAGCAAGGAAGCCGTTCACGTCATACTCCAAGGGGCTAGCGCCTCAGACCATTCCAGTCGCAGCCCCGCCACGGATCTGCAATTCGCTCTAGAGTGGGTCCCTGCAGAAGTCGTCTGTGTCGTCCAATGTTCGAAATAATCCAACGGATTTAAAGCACGAGTGGCCTTCCGTTTTCTTCCACTTCGTGGCAATGCATTCAGGGTAACGACACGATGACGGATCTGGTTTTCGGCTGATTTTGCGAACTAAGAAGCAACTTCTTCTTTTTTTCTCTTCTTCTTGTTTTTGTTGGTCTAGGACAACGCACATCAATCAACCAAAGAGAAAAAAAGAAGAATCCAGCGCGACTGCGACTTTGCGACGAGTCATTCGGTTCTCTCCGAGGAAACAGCACCACGGTTCTGACGACACGATGAGCGACGTTGAGAAACAGTACGATGTGGCGACACCAGGCGGTGCGAAGAAGAGCGAGGAAATTGCTGACCAGAGGGGTGGGATTGATCCTCTTTTCGAGGCCAAGCTTGTGCGCAAGCTGGATATCTACATTATCCCAGTGGTTATGCTGTTGTACTTATTCAGTTTCCTGGACAGGTGAGTTGGAAGAGATTTCCTTGCTTGGAAGAGACTGGACCATTGAAAAAACCCTGTGGATTTGGCAGCATCGACATACTAACTACAACACCAGAGTCAATATTGGGAATGCCCGGCTCTACGGCCTCCAGGAGGATCTCAACATGAATGACTCGCAATTCCAAACCGCAGTTTCGATTCTCTTTGTCACCTACATCTTATCAGAACTCCCTTCAAACCTGGTTCTGAAAAAGTTTACGCCCTCCCGGTGGATCGCATTCATCACCCTCGCCTGGGGGATCATTGCAACTCTCACCGGGATCGTACAAAGCTACGGTGGCCTCATCGCATGCCGTCTCCTCCTGGGAGCCGTAGAAGGCGGACTATTCCCCGGCATGGCCGTCTACCTAACCTTCTTCTACACCAAACGCGAACTCGCCCTCCGCATCGGCTACCTCTTCGTCTCCGCTGCCCTCGCCGGTGCCTGCGGCGGCCTCCTCGCCTACGCAATCGGCCACATGGACGGTACCGCCGGCCAGCGCGGCTGGCGCTGGATCATGATCCTCGAGGGCATCCCCACCCTCCTCCTCGGCATCGCAACATGGTTCGTCCTACCCAACTCCCCCGAAACCGCCTATTTCTTCTCCCCAGAGGAAAAAGCTTTTGCTGCCGCCCGTCTCAAGCGCCAAACGGGGTACACGAAGAAAGCGGCCGAGTTCCACTGGGATGACGTGAAGAAGGCGTTTAAAGACTGGAAAGTCTGGACCTTTTGCTTTGCGCAGTTCGGGTCTGATACCATGCTTTACGGCTATTCCACTTTCCTGCCTACGATTATCCGCTCGATTAATACGACGGCGAGTAGTGCCATGGTGCAGGTTCTGACTATCCCGTGTTATGCCCTCGGCGCAATCACCTACCTGCTCGTAGCGCACTTTTCCGATCGCCAGCAGAAACGCGGGTTGTACAGTGTGCTCCTGGGCCTTGTCAGTATTGTGGGATACGCTATGCTGATTAGCGATTCAAACTCCAAAGTACACTACGCCGGGTGTTTTTTGGTGGCGATGGGATTGTACGTTTGTGTCGGGTTGCCGCTGGCGTGGTTGCCGACGAACTTACCGAGATATGGAAAGAGGACTACGGCTACGGGGTTGCAGCTTAGTATTGGGAATTGTGCGGGGATTATGAGTGCTTTTGTATGTTTCCTCTCCTTCCCCCCCCTTCCCTTCCTTCGTGCGCTCTTTGACACCCAAGTGCTAATGTTGACACAAACAGATCTATCCAACTGCCGATCGCCCCCGCTTCATCAAGGGCCACGGCATCACAATGGCAATGGTGGGCTTCGCATGCTCGTGCTACTGTATTCTGTGGTTTCACTTCTCAAGGGCGAATGCAAAGAGAGAGCGGGGTGACGAGGATGCAGCAGTGCAAAGTCTAAGCGATGAGGAAATTGCTGAGTTGGGAGATGATAGTCCGAGGTTTAGATATACGATTTAAAATGTCGTCTGGTGGGGATGGGAGAGCTGTATGGTTTGGAGTGGGCTAGGAAGATTAGAGATTATTGTAGTATTAAAGAGTTGTGTTAGATGTAGACTGGACGGATGTGATGATGTCGCGGCTCAGATTCATTATGTGGCATGAAAAGGTATGGTATACTACATGGTAGTATCTGGAGCTGGATAGTAGATATACGTGTGGGATAAAGAAGCAAACTTATAGTATCTAAGGGTTGACGTTTGGGTGCGGAAAGAGAGATTCAGAGTGAATCAAGGTAGCTGCAAAGCGGTAAGCTTTAGTGTATTGTAGTGTTGCACGTTGTGTACTAGTAGTGTACTTTTATGTAAGGTGTTTCGCGAGTAAGCACAGAATATATTGAAGGATAGAATTAAGAAGAATCCTTACGGAGTTTCTGTGTAGTTCGTGAGGATTATATACCTCTTCGGAGGGGTAGCGTAGTAGGTTTTTCTTCAAGATCTCAAGAATTCTTTTACTACAATACTAAGGAATTCGTAAGGTAGAGAGTGTAAATATCTCCCCTTCTACCACCAAAAGCAACATCTAAAATCTAAAGATATTTTAGTACTTTAAACTAATCTTATTCTCATACTATGTTCTTTAGGAAAGAGCTTTTATTATCAAGTTTTAGTGCTGAAGAAGCTTTTTTTTTATTTTATTATCTCCTTTTTTAGACTTCTATACTAGTTAATATTAAAGATAATTTTAGTGTATCTAGCAACTTTAGAGACAACTATGTAGCAAGCCAATACGACCCCATTAATACACCTCTTCTACACGTTGATCGGTAACGGACCGTCCCGAGGGAGTGCCCGGTGGATCCCCTCGGGTCGTCCTCTGGGTTTGAATTTTGTGACATTTTCGAAGGACATTGCTATTTGCGCTTATACCGAGGATCTAAATATGGACACGATGTAGATGACAAGGGGGCACTTCTTAATGTGGTCTGGCGAAGCGAAAAAGCGATGTTCGCTTACTTTTGATTGGCCATTACTTTCCTGTTGTGATATGTGTGGCTGTGGGACGCCTGACGAAGCTGAGCCCGGCGCCAAAAGAGGTGGTCCAAAATTATAATTGTTCTCTTGTTTCAGGGCTCGGGAGGGTGAGTTATAGATAGAAAGTTGAGTATATGCTCTTGACTTTATCGGCCCCATCAATCTCACCTCAGTGACTTGCCCTTCTATATTCAACTTGATTTCTGTGGCGAAGCACCATGGATCTTTTCCCTGAACCTGATTGTAACGCTGACCCTCTACTAGTACCGCTTTTGGTGAGCAGCGACACATGTCCGACACCGGGACCTTTGGAGCACGCAGAATTTGTTGCAGCTTCAAGACGATACGGTATCGACTTCACAAGACTTGAGGAAATCCCTGAAGATACATCGCCGACACATCTCGCCTCAATCATCCAGAGTTGGCTCTATTTCGGCACAATCGAGGCATTTACACACAGTTATGTGGATCTAACTGCTTGTGTAATGCAGGAAGGGGAACCTCCATTTGCATTTCCGGGTGTTGGGTCATTTATTTCGTCCAAGGAGATTTGTCGCTTGCTGAATAAGGGCGCTAAGAAGACCAACCAGCGCTTCAAGAATACAAACGGTCCACCAGGGGCAGTTCGACGATCTTATGCCATGGATGATCACATTTCCTTTGTTTGGCACATTCTTGACTGTTTGGACTCCTTGCCACTAGCAAGAACACACCCTCTCCCCGTCATACAGCTCTCAATCCGCATACTGGTAATCATTATCATAGGTCTACAGTGGGACCTACTGCAATTTGATGGACACGACCGCAAGATGTATCATCCCTTCGAACTAAAACCGGTCCTCCACCCCGCCAAACAGCCGCCATCTCCCGCGGCTCAAGTGTTATTAGAGCACTTTGAAAAACACGAGTGGTGCCCTTATAGGAGACGTCAGATGTGCGAAAATCACAACTATGCTATGGCGTACTACATGACAAGGCTCGCCAATCGCTCTCCCCCACATGTAACACACGCCGCCTGCTCCGACGAGACTTGTGTCGCAAATGATATCGATCCAAACAAGTACACATCTCGCCATACGAAAGAAGGATGTTCTTGCCCCCATGTTCGAGTACCAAGTGGAAAAATCGAGAAAATCATCAATGAAGGAGGCATACCACTGGTGAAAATCAAAGATCATGACAGCTTCGGACTGCCTGAGATAGAGATCGTGAAGTTGACGGAACATACACCATACGTGGCCATATCTCATGTTTGGTCTCATGGACTCGGCAACCCCCACGACAACTCATTGCCTTGCTGTCAGTTGCGCCGAGTTGCTGCTCACATTGCTGAGCTCCGTGTCGACACCTATAAATCAGTTCGTGCTGCATCTACAGCCAACTCCAGTCAAGCCTATCACCACGGGGTAGCTTGGGACCTTTCACGGTTCAGATTGAGCAGGAAGAACGAGTTGTTCTGGTTGGATACATTATGCGTGCCTGTTGGCCGAGATGCTGAGACGCGGCGCCTCAAGACTATGTCGATCAATAAGATGGCAGCAATCTACGCTATAGCGAAACATGTAATGGTCTTGGACGATATGCTCTCAAGAATTGATGCTGGCCGAGCAAAAGCCAGTGAAGTTCTGGCTCGCATCAATATCAGCGATTGGATGGGAAGATGCTGGACTCTGCAAGAAGGCGCACTCAACCTTACCTGCCAAGTGAAACTACTAAACAGCACTGGCACCAATCCCCGTATGATCGGCTGTGACTTGGATTTCCTCTTTGGGCTCCAGATGTTTCCTGATTGGTTTCCGGTAAACTGGATTAGCTATGGCACTTCCAGAGTCAAGGCCAGAGATGTATGGCCTGACTTTGATTTACGCGTCACAAGCCTCTTCTCACGCCTGCTACGAAGGTCTCAGATAGGATTTGATCATATGCTTTTCTTGACCGAATCCCAAGAGTATCTTTTTGGAGAGCTCTGGAAGGAGCTGAGTGTGCGTACAACTACTAAACGGAAAGACACTCACATCATTCTGGCAAGTTTGCTTCGTTTCAGCGTGCAGAAACTTTGCCAGCTGAGTAACCCCGCTGATCGTCTAAGCGCTATTCTTTGGAGCCTCGGAGGAATCCCATTCTCATTCTTCTGCTCTGCAGCCGGACCGAGAGACCGCCCAGAGCAACATCATGAAAACCGCTGGTTGCCTCTCTATCCCAACACTACCCCGGTACGCAACTACTGGTTAAGGTTTGATACAGACGAAATGAATACTCTACGAGTTCACGGACGCAGGAAAGCGCTGCTATGTGACCCAAGAGAACTCGCTCAGTGGCCCTCGAGGTCCATAGCGGTGGGAGTCTGTGGCGAGGATGGTTTCACATACATCTACCGCATAGAATTCTATCGTGAGGATGATGATACGTTTTACCAGGATCATAATGGCCCGATATGTATCATGCAGGAAGACGACTCGGCCGGAGACAATGGCGCAGGCGCATGTTTTCTCACCAGTGCAATGTCAATACCCGAGTACGAATCTCGGAGCAGCTCGGACACGAGAGTAGATTCAGACAGCGAAGCAGGTGCGGATAGGTCCGATGGGCTGCTGGCTACATTCGACTGCCCAGTGTTCATTTCTGTGTTGCGGCGGGCCCCATCCAACCCAGCCGATGCCACCGAATCTGTGATTAACACCAAAAATGAAGCCAAAGCGTTTGCTGTCACAGATTCTACGATAGAAGCGATTTCGGGTGAGTGGATAGATGCCAGAAGAATCCGCATTCTTTGCAGTAAGTTCCTTCCTGCTTATGAAGACGCTTCAGAATGCCATTAGCTGACAACCAAGCAAAGAACCCCCCTCGATGCAATTACCTCTCAAGACTCGAACAAGAACCCGACCCGAAGATATAGCTTTGGCCTTTCTTTTTGGAAACGCCAACGCAGTGACGACTGCTGGGATGATTATGCTCATTGTCATACTTGTTAAGTACTTCGACGAACTCACTATAACTTCACGAGCAGCGGCGATAACGATCCTAATCATGGACTGTCTTGGAAATACTGCATTGGTAATGATAGGATTCTGGATTTGGTTATCCTGGGAAGCAGTGATACTAGCGCTCATCACAGTATATGCTGTTTCGACGCAAAAGCACCTAGGATTGTCCAAGCTGGACATTGCGTTTGTCGCTTTACATTCATATGCGGCTACCGAGATGTTTATAGGTAAGGTTTTGAAAAAGATGCTCATGTCCATGGTGTTCCGGGCTTGGCTTGAAAATTTCAATGATGACGGAGCGGACCAGAATCAGATTTGGATAGTGAGATGGCTGTTGAAGGATCGTTCGAGACAGGACTGGAATCATAGTGTGAATAGATAGGCTTAGAGACTACTGGCACCAATATCTGGTATCGAGGATTTTAGTACGTAAGTATCAGGACATGTTATGTCGATTATAAGCTTGATTTCGCGATGTTATCTGTAAGGTCTCTCCTGTTCTAGTCGTGCAAGAGCTACAATGTTTGTATGAGGTACAGCGAGAGAGACTAACCACGCAGATTTAGGGCTTTTGCCTACACCCTATTAGATCGATAGTATAGTACTTTAATTCCCACGTTATAAAATACGTAGTGATTACTAACGATATACGCGTTGAATTTAGGTTAAGATACCTAACTAATGTAAGAAATGGGGTGACGACATAGATTCCAAGACGGAGAAAAAGTGCCAGCAACGTGAGTAGAAAGAGGACCGAGACCAGCAGTTATATGAGCTGTGGACACATTTCGTGACATCTTAAGAAGATTTCTTTCTATACTACCTATATCGGGGCGGCGCAGTGGGGTTTTCTTCTAGATGCTAAAGTTCTCCTACCACAATTCTAAGGAATTCGCAAGATTAACAGTTTAAATCCCTCCCTCTCTAGGGAAAAAAACTAAAATCAATTTTAAGAGTAAAAGAACTAAATGTAGAGATTATATTTATAGTTAAATTGAATTTTCTTTAAACCTTTAACTTGTAGGAAGGGGATGCTAGTTTTGTGAAGAAGCTTTCTTAATGTTTCTCCTTTTTTAACCACTGCATAGAATTTTAGGCCAAAAGCCACTGTATCTAGCTATGATAAAGAAAAAACGTATAATTAGTTTATTATTTCTTTCTGTTTGTGTTGCTCATGAGTGGCTCGCATGCGGCGATGGGCCCATAATGTATATCACATAAAAGAGCGGCATGCCCACCTCAGCCCACCAAAAATCAAGAAGTCGAAATAAAGGACATGGCCCAAGTAGCGGTTCGAACGAGAGACTTCGGGCTCCAGGCCTCAGGGCCCTCGTATCGAAAAGTCAGCACTAGTCTGGATGGAACTGAGTCACAAAACAACAACAACCACCCCGTTGGGTGTCCAATCACGGGCGGCAAAATCTGCACTCGGTGAATCATGGTGGTAATGAGGACACAAAGCGCAAGGCAGCAGCGTAGTGCACAACTCCCAACTAACTTACAAACACCCTGCTCTTGTGAACTCAGTCTCCAACCCGGCAACTTGATCAACATCACCCTCCGACCGATTTCTATTCATTGCGCACCCACCACTTCTGCAAACCTCTGATTATACGCATCTGCACTATTTTTTGCCTTAAGCAAGTACCAAGTAGAACGCTAATAAGGATAGGTGCATAGGTTATGCAGGACACTATCTAGTCATGTCGCGTTTGACCCAAGCCCGCCTCCCTCGCGTTTTATGGGAGCTGTCTTCTGTCATACTTCACTCAGGCTCCAGATTGTTTTCAAATCCCTTATCTCAATATAGAAAGGGTGGATAGTAAAGAACTCGAGTCTTGTATTACTCACATCAAGATAGCGCTCCTTGGAAGTATCGGTTTTAACCCGTGTCATTCCAACTACAATGAATTTTTATGTGAAGCAGCTAGTTATTCTATTCATTCTTTCTTAGGGGTTCTCTGTCTTTACGGTGCTCACAGCCTGTCCCCGAACCTGTCTTTGCTATCTCATAGATTTGCTATCACATTGTGCCTTAGGAGGCACATATATCCAGCAAAATCTCAAATAATTAGTTTTGCTGGTGTTTTGGGTGGTTAAAGCATGCGGGGTTAACTTTGGTGATGGCTGGGTTTTGGCTAAAAAGGGAAAACTTTTTGCTTAGTACTGTAGTTAGCTAGTTACTAGTTAATTTAATAATCTATCTCCCGGCTTATTCCTATGCTTTTTTTCCAGCGTCATCTCCTATAAATACCTTTCCCTAATAGTGATCAGCAACATCACGCCTTACTGCTCACAGCTGTCTCGCCCCAAACCTAGATCAAGAATAGAGAAGTATAGCCTAACCTCGTAGCACAAGCGTACACACTTTCATGTCCTAGTCTACAGTTATGTAGCTAGTACAGAAACTAGAGATTTGCTAGCTAGATCTATCAACACACTGCCTTAACGCCCGCACTTCGGCCTCCAACTCCTTCACCCTATCCTTCACTTGGGCCGCATCGCCTGCACTAGCTTGCATATGCTCCTCTGCCCAGTCTGTAAACCGCTTTAAGTACTGCTCGATATTTGTCTGCACCTCTACCCATTGCCTGCACCCGCGTTAGAGATCTACATTTAGTTATCGTAGGCTTAAGCGTACCTAGGGATATCAATAAAACTGCGCGTCTACGTTAGAGGCCTCTTCATATTCAGAATGGGATAGGCACTCACGCTTCTGGCAGCTCTGAATGGGCCTGCTCTAGCTGTTGCAGAGATAGCTCTAGCTCTCTAATCCTCTCGTCCTGCTTGTTGAGTCTCTCTGCATTCTGCAGCGTTTGCTCGTAATTGAGCTGCAGACCCTTGCTAGTGATTCTAGAATCTCTCCTAGACTCAGTCGCTGATCCGGCTCCAAGATCTAGAACGCAGGGTACGTCTCGTAAGATTGACCTCTCTAGTTCTTCGCGTAAACTCATATCTAGAGTGTGTTGTATTGATAGCGCTGTATTTACGTCAAGTAGATTTGTAGCTTCATCTCCAATAGCTAGGCCCGTATACTGGTAGATAGGTGGCGATGCAGCATTGCGGTAGAAGGATTCTGCATCGATGATTTGTTGGGCTGGAGCGTAACCTGGAAAGGTGGGTAGAAACTCAATGTCTTGCCCAATGTCTGTAGAATCGAGATTTAGGTTAGGGGAGGCAAAGCTGGCATCTGTAAAAAGTGAGTCAAAGTTGATACACTGATTAACGACTAATGCAGGGTAGTCAAGCGATAGGGGCTGCTGGTTATCAGTTATCTGGATAGTCGAGGTAGTGCTCGCTTCTTGAGTAACAGCAGATAGACCAAAACCAGCCAACATGTCACCGCCATCAGCGCATGTGTGCGTGCTGGCATCAAGAGGACATTCTGGCGCCTGCTGCCTAGCGCCATAGTCATCCATCCATGAATATTCTGAGCTGAGTATAACCATATTTCTATAATGCAGTGTTTCGAAGCGGGGGTCTAGCAAAGGTGAACGGTGCTGGTAATTTGCAAACTAAAGTATTAATTATTTCGACGATTGGGGGCAGCAGAGGCTGTGTTCAACGCCTTCTTTTTTTAGGCTGCTCTAGAAGCGACAGTCTTAGAATGCGACACTAAGAGCTATATTTGTAGACCCGTGATACAAAATGGGATGCATCTCCACAGACGAACGCTGTAAAACTGGGCCTAGCAGCTGTTGTCTCGTGAGATATTATTAGATCCCCTCAGAATATTACCAACATACTTCCAGACGAGTGATATGTATAGCGTTAGTGAAGTAAGCCTCTGCGTCTCAGTGGCACTGCAACGTAGCGGGCTGACTACTAGGGAGCGTGCTTTGTCATGGCTGTGTTACAACGAAATCTTTTCTTGAATCATCAACCCACAATCTCAACTACATACATGATCGTAACGGGCCCCCAAATTTGAGGACTATGTATAACTTACAGCCTTGGAGGCTTAAAAGGGCTCTTGCTGAGCAGGACACGTTGACGAGGCGATACTAGGTTGGAACGTGAGTGGCAGGTTTGGGCCCTTCAGTCCTATGGAACTGCTGAAATGAGCTTCTATGTACGTATTGCTGGATTGGAAGCGATGGTTATGCAGGCGCCAGACGGTATTTATAGAAGTAGTACCCTAAAACTCAATCAGTTGACTAGTTAAGTATGTTAGCCCTGAGATCCATCCATAATTACTCATTGCTCGATACAAGTGGATTTATCACCGCGCAATCAGTTATTCGGGTATTGAAGTGATGGCTCCAATGAACCTGGCGTCAATTGACCCTAGAAAAGTCGAGATTGCTCGCAGACGTTTACAACTGGATCTCGATAACAGCAAATTACTGCGAACATTCTTTAAGAGGGATTTCGTAAGCATGATGGTGGCCATCGAAATGATTGCTGATGGAACCATAAATTCCACTCACCTCTTTCGCGAACCTCCCACCATAGCGGTAACGGACTCGACGACCAGTACAGAAGTGCCATATCCCGTCTCTTTCCTACATGATCTCATAGATTTCTACACATAGGAATTTCCTGGCTCGCCATATCCAGAGGAAGATCTTATAGATGATTTTGAGATGATATTTATAGTGCTTTCTAAGTGTCGCAGTCATAAAGCAGACGTGCAGGTCAGACGACTGGCAAATAATCCAGATATCATTGCGAAAAGTTGGCTCGCTTTCGCACAGCGGTTGAAAAATCTTCCACCAAATATTGCGCAGGATGCTAAACCAATTGGTATTTGGATAGACAGAACTTTCATGAGGGGCGTGAAGGAACTCGAGAAACTACCTCCATCGATGATAAAAGCTACATGCGCTTTAGAACTTGCACTCTTAGTGCCCATGCTCACAGAACCAAGAAAGCGGCGGATCACCTTCTATGATTTGTTTCAAATTCTACTGTCCACACCCAATATTGGTCTAATACGGGAAGCAGTGCTGTCGATTCGACGCCTGGAGCACCTGACAGACCTGCGTACGGACGCCTGTCTCCACCTCGCACGGCATATAGTTGATACTGCTCATAACGCAGGTTCATCCCAGATATATCGCGCTCTGTTGAAAACTGTTAGCGAACTTATAGGTTTTCCCGAGGAAGTTGTGAAACAGTGGTATGAAGAATTCTGGGAGCATCAAGGCAACCCAGAATATTAAGCACGTCGTCATTACGACTCAAGGTACCACTCATGGACATAGCATTGATTGTGAATGTTGGCGTAAACAAGGTAACTAACTAGTTAGTCAGGAACAGTGATAAAAAGATGTCATTGCACTAGGAAGTTGCCCCATATAGCGCAACTAGAAAACTGATGCAGCTTTTACATTTTTGTTGGTTTGTGATCCCTTAACACGTGATTGCCAGTCACCCTATTCACAAACAGACTAGCGCGCACTCTGTATAAACGAGTGCAACTACCCACTCAAGTAGACAGTCCGAGAACTCGGTCTCCCCTTTTTTTTACGAGTTCTGCGTGTTTTAAATTCAAGATCCTGTCTTTGATTTCATGAGTAACATTTGGGGTGCTTGCGTTATCTAGGACATCACAATCTCGGGACGCCGCTGGCACCAGTCTGAGGTAAGCACGGTTTTCGTCTGGCCTTGCAGTAAATAACTAATTAGTTAGTAAAATCATTATCATACTACCTATACGGCGTATAGGTCACAAGATGCGATGGGATTATAGAGACCAAGGTAAAGGCGATGGAACGCCCGCAATGGCTTCATCTATGGGAACATGATGGGTCTTAGTAAGACTCGAACGTCCTGGGACGTCACTATAGTTGGGCATATCTACCTACTCATGTGGCTTAATACGATCGACAACCCTAGCCAACACATACGCTTCGACGCATCCGAACTTAGCTCCTACTTCTAGGTGTCCTTTACAAAGCATATTCCCATTCACATGCTTCTGTAACCCAAAGTCACACATGCACAAGAAGGAACCGCTGAGAAGCCTTACGCTAGGCAGTAGTTCTAGCAAGGCACCTGATGCGTGGAAAGATGAAGTTGTGGCTCTAGGTCTTTCCAAGGCGAAGTGGCGTAATTACGCCGGTGTGTTGTAAGCGGAGCAGGTCCTAGGACTAACTTTTCGAAGACGCGTTCTTCGTGGCTCTAGGTCCACTGTTAAAGCCCGTTTATGGGAGATGCCTGGCTGGTCTAGAGGATGACATGGCTAGATTTATAGTAGTAAGCAGAATGCACGTGTATTTGAGAACTCTCTTCAGAAACCTGTTTACATTGTGCTGACAATGTATACTGTGCTTAATAGATCGGTACATACTTATTAGTCAGAATGTATTCCAGCGGGTGGATGAGTGATGGTACCGTGCAAATGTAAGAGTGTGTTTTGAAAAGAGATTGCGGAGCAGGTCTTACAAGCGAACCTGTATGGGTAGGTAGTTACAGCTCGGCTAGTGGTGCTAAAAGGGCTTGCAGATGGAATGCGCACATCCGCCGCACGCTTTTCCTTTGCCAGCTCCTACAGAGAGAGAGCTAATCGAATAGCATTTCTTTATGCACGGAACCTCACCCCGCTGACGACAGATCGTAATTTACAGCTAAAGCTGCAATAAACTCCACATATGCAGGTGGCCTGAAACACAATCTATTGCAGCGTGCGCATATAGAATCCGACCAATTGCGACGGCTTTGCACGGTAAAACGTGCAGAAATGGTTATTTAGCGATGCGCCGATCTACTTCCAAGCCCCTCCATGTTATTGAGGCAATCCATCTTCAAGCCTGCGAAACACTTGTTTTACTACTTACCTTTGTACGTTGCAGCCGCTGCTTGAAGATAGATTGAGGCTCTGCCCACGACTCGCATGACACTGTTAAGTACACTGCAATCACGCTCATATCCTTATCGAGGTCCCTTTCTTTTGGTATTCCATCACGCGACTGCAAGGCTGTGAACTAAGTGGTAACGTTCTCACACACTGCTCTGAACAACTGGCTTTATGGGATACTAAGATTTAGCAACCTAGGAGGCTGAAAAATTCTTTGTGTCTGATCGCAGCACGTCGCTCGACGTAGTACTTCTTCTATTTCGGCAACCTAATCAAGTTTTCCTCATAGTAGTACTCATGGCGGGGTTCACAGATGCACCAGAGTCGTCTACCAAGCTATATCACCCACTCCAGGATGCGGCATCATCGGGTTCTGGTGTTGATGAGCATCTAAACTGGGGAATTCGCCTCCTTTTACTCTTACCAGGCGACCGAGATTCTACGATTCAATGTAGTCTATCGGTTTCGACGATAGGAGATAGTCTGGGGGCTTATGAAGCCCTATCTTACGTTTGGGGCGCACCCGCGACTACAGACACCGTTATCCTTGATGGACGACCCGTACTTGTTACTCGAAACCTCCAATGCGCATTACAGTGCCTCCGTTGCAAGACATCAGCTAGAGTCTTGTGGGTTGACGCGCTTTGTATTGATCAAACGAGTACGGAGGATAAAAGCCTCCAAGTCCCGCGTATGTGGGCGGTGTTTACCTTTTGTCAGAAGGCTCTAATATTTCTGGGCAATGAATCAGATGACAGCGACCGAGCGCTGAATCTCTTACAGAAGATCTCGGAACTGCCTTCAGGTGATCTCGATGCAGTGGCAAGAATGGCGGGCGATCATAGCCTGGCATCATCTTGGAATGCCCTCTTGAAACTGACACAACGACAATGGTGGGGTCGCGCATGGATTATTCAGGAATATGTTGTTGCAACGAAAGTCCAGTTCCTATGTGGCGCGTGCATTTTACAAGGCGAGGAGTTTTCCAAAGCATTCAGTCTTCTTAGAGACTATCGATTCAAGGGCATAGTTCCACCAGAACAAGCTGACCTAATCCGACATGTCGCGCCTACGTCGATTCATCACCTTTGGTTCACGCGAGAAGAATACCAAAAAGGCTTGAAGCAAGGCAAGCAGGTTGTAGATGTACTTTACAAGTTCAGAGCATCACAGTCGTTAGATCCACGGGATAAGATTTTTAGTGTGTACAAACTCATAGGCCAGATACCCGAATTGGCTCCAAATTACGGACAGTCTGTTCAGCATCTTTACCAAGCCGTTGTGAAGACCACTATTGAATACTCAGGGACCTTGGAGATTCTGTCACATCACAACCAGAATGTTCCGTCTCGGCTTATATTGCCGAGCTGGTGTCCTGATTGGACGATACGGCGAGGAAAGAGGATTTTACTTTGGCCCAATGGATATAAAGCCTGTGGTTCATCAGAAAAAGCGCAAGCTCTGGCCAGGGAAGGTGTTCTAACACTTGTCGGCGTGCCTATTGCTCGCGTACAAGTTCTAGAAAGATTTCCAGGCAAGAAATTTTACAAGGCCACATCCGTGCACAACACATTGCACTTGCTGCAAGAGAAATTACGCAACTGGGACAATATCGGCTTAGATCAAGCCAGTAGGCTGAACATGTTTCGGAGAACAATCGTCGCTTCGAGGATTCGCTTCAATGGACCCCGGGGTCCAGCCAATATCCTCAGTGAGCATCAGGTTGACACACTCTGGGAGGCATGGTCCACACAAGCAAGCAAGTCTATTGTGGGTGTTGATAGTCTCGCTAAGTGTTATGACGATGGGATCTTTACTGCTCTTTGCGGACGAGCATTGGTTGTTACAGACAACAACTCGTTGGGTATAGTCGACCTACCTGTTCAAGACGGTGATCTGATATGCGCTTTTTCTGGTGGACAAGTCCCTCTGTGTATTCGTGCTACAGATACAAAGATGAACAGCAAGACGTACCAGCTTGTTGGTGAATGGTAAGTCACATCTTGCCCTTTTCTGCGCATTACAATCTACTTACTTTTTTCCTTCACTCAGTTACCTTCATGGCTACATGGAAGGGGAGGCGTTTGAAAAAGGCCATGGGGGCGAAGCAGGCATGATGGAGTTCGCACTTGTGTGATTGAAGGCCATTCCAGAATGAGGACTGATATTATTATCTGAGATAGTGGAAGTTTGTTTTGACAAATCATCAATTGCATCGCGCCGGGGTCTCTTCAGTTATGCGCACGTCTTTTCATGCATGACGCGCGAGTCCAAAAGCATCTGCACAATCTAAAGTGGGGGTTGAAACGAGAATCTGGTTTCCCAATCCGAATCGTCATTTCTATGACAGCACCAAAGATAACGCCATTTACGCGGTTAATAGGATCCGGCTCTAGATTTAGCGCAGCAAACTGCCACCATGCTTGCCTTCTTTGGAACGCTCAAAGGTGAGACCATACCCTCCCATGCCAGAGGACCGACGTTGACTAGACCGAGTAAACAAAATTCTAGACACTCGAGCTTTTCTAGTTTTTGAGCGATTACAAAGATTTTACTTGACGCTCAACGTCGTATCTGCCTTGCTCGCCGGGCTCTCGTTGGCCATGCTCACGTTCGATGAATTCCACCCTACACAAACAGCCCTCATTCGAGCCGCCGAGGGACTGCTCTGCAGCTCCGCCCTGACCTCCATAATATCGGTTGTGGTAGCAACTATGCTTCTGTTCAAATTTGAGGGACGAGATTCTGCGACGCGCAAGGATCTGGCGATTGCATGGTCACCACTAGTGCTCTTGGATGTGGCTATTGTGAAGTGCCTTTTTGGTCTCATGTTGTGGTATGCCGGGAAGAACAATCGATGGCGGACCTCATTAATGAGCACGCAATTAGTACTTCTTTTAGGATACTGTATCTGTATTTCTATATGGATGTGGTTTACTATGAGCGATATGGGAGGTTTAGGACGAGACGAATTACGAGCAACTACGCAGACGCAGCGCACTGCCGACAACTAGTTTACTTCCTTGTACTAGGAGTATAGTGGTAATAAATAGAAGCACCTTTCGCGTTAATATTGATAGCTCTGAATAATGAAGTGCCTCTAGTCCATAGACTAGCTATGGGGCTAATACTACTAATCTAGCTTTATTAGAACTAGTTTCTAGGGGTAAAGAATTATTATATTAGGGTTGACCTTACAGACGGTAGATAATGTGGCACGATACGTGATCGAGCTCAAAAGATCAGAGGGGCTACCCGCAATCGAGTAGATAGAAATAAGCTGATATTTGATCGCTGCAAAGGATTGATTAGAGAAGGTGCCTATCTACATACGAAAGAAAATCGCAACATATACTAGAAGCTAGTCACGTGATGCTACACCACAATATTATTATTATTATTATTCTAGTTTAACGTCCTGTGTCAGCCGGTGGGCTATATAAGACGTGTAGGCTAGGCCTACAGGTAACTACGTAGTGCTATCAATTTGGTGTAGGTAGGGGAGGGGGTCATCTAAATACAGGTGAGGCTCGTA